AATTTCATTTTTGACAGAAGAACCCAATAATCGTTATCCTTCATATAATTATAATTCCAAATTAGATCCTCCTTAAGTAGTTGAAGAATTTGAAAATATTGCTAGCAGTTATTTAGAAGATCGTAATTTGGAAAATCGAGTTCAGCAAATAGAAACTGAATTATTAGTTATTAAATGTGATTTCGAAAATCGTGTTCAGCAATTAGTGTCTGAGATATTATCTATTAAGAACTCTTTAAACAAATTTTAATTTATTTATATTGTAATTTTTCTTTTGCGAAAAACAATAATGTATTGCTCATTTTAAGCGAGGCATTTTTATTTATTTATAAGAATTAATGCCTTTTTTTTTTTATTCACTTTGGGCGTGTTAATATTAAATGCGCAAGTTTTTCAGTTTACTTATTTTTTTTGAAATATTATATTCATAATACCGTGTTAATATAACACCTATATAGTTTTACTTAGGGTTAGGGTCCAGTTTTAAGATAAATAGAAGTTTTTTATTATACAATATATATTAGACATAAGGTTCTGATGGGTCCCAATTTCAGTTCCCATGAGGTTTTCGAGGGTGCTAAACATTTTTACTTAGAGTACCTACACCCATTTGCTTAGTACGTTTCTGAGATATAGCATAAGGTGTTATATAACACGGCGTTATAAATATAATTTTCTATTTTTTTTTAATTTTTTTTTTTATTTTTTTTTGGGGATTTTTTTTTGGATTTTTTGTTTTTATTATTGCTTCTTAGTGATTATTGTGAGTTAAATTTTTATTTATAAAACTTGTTAATATTGTTTATTTTATAGTTAGTATTACAGAAATTTTTATAATTACAATTTTTTATTGGCAAATTACATTTATTATAAATTTATAAACATATTTTTTCTTTTAAGTTCTAATAGGTGCATTTTTGTATCTAAGTTTTGAACCAATATCAATTTTTAGCATTTATGTAACCCAGTCTGTAAATCACTAAATCAGGATCTAAAATTTCTACTTGGCCAAAGACAAGCCATTTCATTCTCTTTAACTATAATTTTTTCAGAAATAATATTTTTTCCTTATTCTCAATATCAATAAAATATTCTCAAGCTCAATTAAAAGCAAAAGGTAATGTTGCTAATGATATCATCTTTTTGTTTAACAATACACTTTGTAGGATGTTCAGAACTAATTGTTTATTTAAGTAATTTTAAATAGTTTTGTGTAATAAAATTTTAGGTAAATTTGTAATCTGTTATTTTATCTACAAAAATTTAAGTGTTACAACAGTTTATCTAAAAAATATCAAGTAGTTAATATACATATTTATAAACATAATGTGATTCAAAGCTGATAGCAGGTGGGTTAATCTATTTGAGTATTCTGTAATTTAAAGAGAAAATAATAAGATTAAAAGACCAAAATTAAAAATATATAATAATATAAAACTTGTCATGATTTTTATAATTGTTTTATAATAATTTTGATATAATTCATCTAAATTAGAATTTAATTCTATTTGAAATAAAGGTTCCAAGATTTGGATTATACTTTTCAAATATCAAATTTATAGTATTATTGATTTTATTATATTATTTTATTAAAATTTAAATAAGTAGACATTTTAATATATATATGAAATTGTCAAATTTCACTGTTGAAATTTACTATAAAACAATAAAATAGATTAGTTATAAAGAGTTTTAGAAATTTTTCTTTTATTTTATCAAGTTTTTAAAAACTTATTGTGATTTGTATTTGTCTATAATTTTAAATAAAATTTTAATTAAAAATATTAATAAAATAATAAAATTAAAGAATTTACTAGAAATTTATATATGATTCAATAATTTTTTATTTTTTTTGTATTTTTGCTTGTAAAAGAATTTTTTAATCTGGATTTCTGAAATATTTTTTATAATATTTTACTAGTTCATAGCAGTTTACATATTTGATAGAATATCAATATTATTATTGTCTAATAATTCTTGCTAATATTATTTTATATCTTTAAAAATTTTAGAAAAATATATTTTTAGTTTTATAATTTTAATATTGTTGACCTTTAAGAAAAAGCCATTTTGGCTTATATCTCTGCAACCACTAGTCTAATCAAGATAAAATATCACCATTCAAATCAGCTTATCAAGATGAATCTAAAAATGGTAAAATTATTCAAATCTAATCACAAAAAGCTGAGATTAAACCAAAAATATGATTTGATTAAATGTTTTATATATAGATCACATGTGGCACAACCTGATTAGCTGATGATCAATTGCACAAAATGCTTTATATGTAGTATATCTATTACATATCATATTTATAGCATCTATATTATTTATTTTACATATTATATATATATTATTTGTCTTATATATAGTATCTATATTATATATATTATATATCTTATTAGTATGATTTATAATATTTGTAGTATAGGTACTAGATATAGACTATTATATTTCTAAAAAATTGTAAAGTATAAAAGCAACTAATGTGGACCTTGAGTTTGACATTGTGTTTTCATATACTTTTAATAATAAAATATCTTTAAAATACAAAATCCTGAACAGTTATTAGTATCTTCATATATTTTTAATTGTTGCCTCTTTCATAATTGCAAATTACCTTAAATCTTCTTTGTTAAATTTTGTAAAAATGCTATATCGACTTAGTTAAAATACAGTAACTCAGGATATTACATAAAGTATTTACTAGCTATAGTCACTCTAGTTACCTACTATCTTTAAAAAAGTAGATATAGAATAACAATATCTTGAAAGACAATAAGCAAGCTATACTACAATTATTATTATAATAATCTCAATTTATTTTTTGCTAACTTGCATTTTTTAGTTTATTGCTTTATTTTATTTTTTAAATATAGTCAAACCCCTCTATAGTCACCTCCTCTATAGTCACAAAATTGGTATAATTACAAATTTATTTTTACTAATT